CTGATTTTCAGCGTTTTTACCCCCGAGGAAAATATTTTAAGGGTACCATGATATAAGTTCATAACTCAAAAAATATATAAAACATTGTTCTGAGTTCAACAGCATACATTGCTAATACAGGGATGAATATCATCCTAAAGTTATAGGTTGATATTGTTGTTGGTTTAGGAAAAAATACAATTATTAGAAAAATAAGCAATTTTTGTCAAATTTTTCTTGCCTATTTCATATTTGTAGCTTCAAGCAAAATATTTGTATAGCAAAAACTTTAACAGCTCAAAGTAATATTCTAACAATATTTCCAAGCTATATGTGGTATTGAAATACATCTATTATAGTGATGTAGTACTATTTTGTATTTTTAATAGGACTTTATAGTGCTCTACCCCTGGTAAATAGCAGAAAGTTGTTTTTTCTGGTTTTAATATTCTATTGACTTCTTAGTGGAAAATATAATCATTCATTATCAGTTTACAGAGCTTTACAATGGTTGACTATTCACATGAATGGAGGGTTGGGACCTTAAAACTACCAGAACTGTGAAGTGGCATCCTTGGGCAACCCTCTTCAGGGCATTTTCCTTACACACTAAAATCTGCAGGGGATACTATAAGAAACCTATATATTTCAGATACTAATGAAGATATTGACTTCAAATTATCAGAAATTGGTCCTGGTATGATAGTGTATGACATAAATAGAAAACAAAACAACTCCATTGCCAAAGTAACAAGAACACCACACTATTTGTTTCCTAAGAAATGTGTGTTAAGAGGTTTTGTCATTATCTTCATATTTATAATTCTAAATATGTCTGTACAATGTGGGATGAATAAAATATGGTTAAATGATATTTTCTATACATGCAATCTTTCTAAAACAGAAGTTGCTATGGCAGCAACATAGATCAGAGAAAAAATCCTACTAGGAAGATCACTCTATTTGTCAGGAAATAAAAATGGAAACTAAAAAATGACTTTCTTTCTACTGAATAGCAATTTGGTAAACCATGGCTGACACACACAAGAGAAAATGTTTATCACTTCTATGTCATTTTGTTGTCCCTTTTATTTATCGTACTCTGGGACTTATAACACCTATTGCCGAGTCTTCTCCAACTGCAAAGGAAGGCAAGATTTTAATAATGAACCTTCATAAATCTCAACAAACATGGCCTAAGATTTGAACAATGCTGAGAAAATTATGCTCCCAGGTGAATCAGTGCTCATTTTAGGAAAGTCTGGGTCGGGTGAATTTTTAACCTAATTGTTCCCCTCTCCCTAACCCCCAAATTTTGACAATTGTCGAAAAGTGACAAACAACATTCATTAAAGTTCAATATGGCTATTTCGCTTCTATGGCATTAATATATGGAGCGATCGATCTCAGGATGAACAAGGGGCGATCAATAAATTTCACAAGTGACACTCTATCTTTTACAGAAAATACCATCACAATTGAAGACATGTCAAAAATTTGGTAGAAATAATTTTGTCACTCCTGATTTGACCTTGAAAGGTTCAGGTAGGTTTATTGATTTATGCATTAATATTCTTTATTTCAATGTATCAAATAGATCTTGAAAGGAAAACCGAATTTCCTTAAGATTAGTGTTCCCCATTTCCCAATTGAAAAAAACTCATGCTATCCATTTGTTTCAGCTCATTCAGGTCATCCAAATTCAGTTTAATGTCCCTGGGGGAATCCAATTATCCTTTCAGGAAAAGAACATGTCTCAAAGCATATTCTAATTATGCATTCAACAAAAGGAACAGTTGAGCAGTGTGTGGGTGTAGAGAAAGTCCGTTGTGCTTCATCTGGTGTGTTCGAGTGTCAGCTGCCTCTAAGTTAGATCGACTAACAAAACAGCCTTTTTTGGGTTGTCGAGTTGGCCGAGAAGGCTTGAGCGCCAGCACGTTCAGGCTAGGCGATAGGGCGCCGTAACCACGCGGTTGCGAGCTCGAGACGCGTGTGCTCCTTGTGTTTGTTCATATATAATACGTCATTATTATATATAATAAAAGCTTGCATTTTGGTAAAATTAGGTCAACATTTTTAAAAAGTATGTTGATTGGTCCATCGCACCTTTGATATCACTTAGGTCTGATTAATATCATTATCGTTATGTTTACTTTTCTTGAAAATAATGAATGGGTCTAAAAGATTTACCAATGTTCATAATCAGAAAATATTCATAATTCAAGTTAGAATCGTCTGAAATTGTTTGCGATAACATATGTGCTCCTTTGATGTAATACTATCAAATGCTTGAGTTATGACAGTTGAAGTAAACCAAAGTCTTGGTATTTAAAGGCAGAACACAAAATTGCAAGCAACGTGAATAGTTGACCTACCAATGTATTTCTTACAATCTCAAATCATGTTATCTCCCAAAAGTTCCACAATATGTTATTAAATTCGTAAAAATGTTTATGATTCAAAGTGAAAAGGGGGGGATGTTCAAGTTCTCCCAAATGATAATAAATATGGTTATCATCTTTATTGGAAAAGGAATGCACCATTCTAAAAATCTTAAGTTTTCTTTAAATGAAGTATAGAAATAGGGATATTCAGTAAAAAGATAGGAGCCCAAAATATTATGCCATAAAATATTCTAAATTGAAACAATTTTGTCAAAGCAAGTGCTGATATCTAGCTTTACTGCCGGAAAGTCATCTTTGGTTAAAAAAAATTCTTTACTTTTCTAACATTGAGCTGTGATGCAGCATGGCTTAATGAAGGATCTGCTATATGGTCAGATGATGAAAACTAACAGTTTTACGGAACCTTTGCCATGATTTGCACATTTTAAATGATCTCTGAATGGGTTGTAAAGGATTATTAGGTATATATCGGAGGTTTATTTGGCTCAAATGGCCCGTGGCCTAGTACATGGGACACTATACTACTCTTGCATGATGACTAGTTGCTCAAGTGAGATCAATTGATGATCATAATGTTTAGACTTTATGTCAATGTCAAGACTGTATGCCAACCTCAATAGTAGTGACTACACTCGATTTCATAATGATACATGTACTAAATTGAAAACTTACATGTAAAATACCTTAAGTCCTATATTCTAGTAATGAATGAATTAGAATGTCACCTAACATTTGATGATGTTTTGAGTGCATTGATTGGTGTCTATCAATGCATTTCATTAACTAAATGCTGCAAAATGATAAAATTGACCACGTCCACTTTCTTTTATTATCCAGGGGTAGGGCACTACAAAGTCAAATTAGAATTACAAATAGTATTTCATCACTAAAATAGTTGTAAAACAACATCACACTTAGCTTGGATATGTTGTTAGAATACTACTTTGAGCTGTTAAAGCTGTCATTTTTTTCTTGAAGCTACAAATATAAAATTGGCGAGAAAAAAATTGCGCATCTTTTTTTCCTATTTATTGTTTTTTAGACTAAAAAGGCTGTCAACCTTTACCATTAGGATAGTATTCAATTTTTTACTAGCAATGTATGGTGTAGAAATCAGAACAATTGCTCATATTTCTTTTGAGTTATGAACTAATTTCAAAGTGCCCCCTAGAATATTTTCCTAGGGGGGTAAAATGCCAAAATTCAGTGCAATGGCCATTCCGCTGAGCTGTCATCTTTTAATATCTTTCAAATAAGATATAGCCTCTAAACTAGATGCTTGACACATATGAAGTGCATACATTACATTTTCGAAATATGATTTCACTTCAGAAATGCATAGAGTAATTGTTTAGAATTTACTCATTAATTTCTTCGCTTAAGGAATTAAGAACTCATACTATCTTCGTTTCCTGAGCAAGAGAATTGATTTGTTATTATCTAAACATTTACGCTGCATATTTATAAGGTGAAATCGTATTTCGAAACCGGATTGTACGCACTACATACGTGTCAAATACAGGGTGACTGGATAAAGGATACCATTGAAGGATGCAATATGGAGGAGGCGATTGAGCAAAAGGCAGAGTTGGGTTCATATGGCAAAATTGTCAATTACCCTTAACCTATTCAACCCTTATTATTGTCTGAGGATTGTTTTGGTATACTTTGTCTTTCAAATAACCTTAAAAGTCAAATGGATTCAATTTCGGGTTATATGGAGATGAAGAGTTATCTGACCTATAGCTTATGATCTTGTTGGCAAAGTGCTAATTTACCCAATCTAGTGAGTTATTTAGGTATAGGAAATAGTTCCATCTTACCAAAACCACTATATGGCACAATTAAATCCCATATGGCAACCAAGGGCGGCCCAAAACCTCCTAAGGATGATACCGTAACTGACTAGCGCCACTGAGTCGTAAGCTATAGGTCGGATAAGCCTTCATATCCATACACCTCATTACCGACAAGTGCTAAAATTACAGTTATTCATTTAATTGACACTAAAGTTTATTGATAATCAGGAGAGAAAGAATATAATAAGTTGTTTATTTATATACTTAACTTGTGAAGTAACTGTTAATAAGCTAGGTATGTACTGATACCTAATATAGATATAGAGTATATCCTGAAATGCTGAAATAAACGATGTAACACAAAAAGCCAGCGCATCTTCTGCTCTATAAATGATACCGTATGAATGACAAAGTATGGTCATTTCTAAGAATAAAGATAGAAGATGTATAATATAGTTAGCAAATCTCCTGATTAAAGTATAGGAAATGCTTTGCACAGGTATAATATGGGACCTATTCTGTGACATACATGTACCATCAGAGAGTTAAGTAGTCCTGGTTTGATACGCAAATTGGTCCGTATTAAACTGTTTATATCTAACTATATTTTAGGGGATTCTTGGCATATTTTCACACTGTGTCCAAATTTGTTGAAATAAAACGAGCCTAATACCTTTTAAATGACAAATAACGCAAATATCAGACAATAATCACTGTGCAAAATGTGCGGTATCTTTCGTTTTATTTCAGCAGATTTGGACACAGTGTGAAAATATGCCTAGAATCCCCCAATACTATTAGGTAATGCACCCTGTGACGCATCAGTAGCATCATATATCGGGGTACTGTCCAATGAGTGTCACATTTTCCGTACGACTTATCTTACCAGATGTTTTGGGGATTACTAGGGGAACATAGTTAGGTACAATTAAAATATATTGTCATTGGCTTTGCAAATGGCATAACATGTAGCACATGGGGTGTTTATAGAGTCCATGTCATGCTAATATGAAAGAATGCAATTTTCCATCTTAATTACCAGGCATCAGCAGAAAACCTCCAAAAATAGATTTGACGAGCAACAGGTGTGTTGTAGGATACACATATTTCACAAATCATTCTTATATATTTTATCGTGTCCGCTTATATATTAATGTATACTACAATTATTATTTGACGAAATACAAGTCTCTTCGTGATCAACCATAACGAATTTGTAGAATAATCTTCATTTCAATTGTTTTTCGTATGTATTTTATAATTTCAAACGTTAGTGACTTTATATCTGTGATCCTCTCTGCGGTGGCAGCGTTTTTTACGAGTGGTTATGCCTTTAGCCGCTAGTTCTTCCCGTACCCTTGATAAGTATCCTAGGTCTGGATAGCCATAGTTCTCCCTAAATGAAAATAAAAAGGACACTTATTAATCTGAACGTGTTCATATCTCACTTTTACAAACATTTTTTATTCCAAAAAGCTTCTACTATATTTTAAAGGCATCGAGAAACCCAATACATAAAGGATTTTGGACGTGTTAAGCAATTACAACTAACCAGAAAGTAATGATTTGTCACCAAATGACCGAGTCGTTATAACAATGACTGGTCCAGGGCTAGTATAAATTAGTTGTTCTTTTAAAAAACGTTCTCAAAATTACATTTAGTATATTATTGCACTCTACTGTGCTTTAATATTTGTTCATCAATGGCTTCGAATCCCTATGAATCCCCTTTCAAACCAAATTAGTTCTAAACCGTTCTTTCCAGTTTAGAAAAGTCATAAAATGGGCGTAATCTGACTGGGGGCGGGAATTACATGTACTGTATGTCTAAAATAATTAGCGAGTTCGTTCATAACCAGTTTCCAATACGTCCATCTCATTCGTAGTTCGTCTAGGTTGCACAATTTACTTTCAATAAACCGACTCCCTAAACCCCTATCACACCAAACTAGTTCTTTCCCGTTCTTGCCAATCCTACGAAAACGTCGTAAAACGGACTCAATCTGGCTGTGGTCGGGAAATATGTCCAAAATAATCAGCTATTTCGTTCATAAACAGTCTTCAATACGTCCATCTCATTCGCAATTCGTTTAGGTTGCACCACGTCAGTGTGCAATGTCGTATAACGCGTCCCTTAATCTAGAAGGTCATCATGACCTATTACAGAACGGTAAGGTCGCCATCAAATTTTGAATATTTTCAAAATTCTAAAATCACCTTCCTGTCTGAGAAAGTGCATGAAGTTTGTAACCCCCCTATCACACCAAACTAGTTCTTACCCGTTCTTGCCAGTCCTACGAAAACGTCGTCAAACGGGCTCAATCTGGCTGTGGTCGGGAAATATGTTTGAAATAATTAGCTTCTTCGTTCTTAAACAGTCTTCAATACGTCCATCTCGTTCGCAGTTCGTTCAGGTCGCACCACGTCGGAGTGCAACGTCGTAGAACGCGTCCCTTAGTCTAGATGGTCAACATGACCTGATTACAGAACGGTATGGTCGTCATCGAATTTTGAATCGATTCAAAATTCTGAAATCACATTCCCGTCTGAGAAAGTTCATAAAGTTCGCAAATAGACCTTAGAAAGTTGCAGCTACGTTCATTCCGTTCACACACAGTTTAAAACCAGTTTTGAAGAACGCAGTGGCAACATGTTTGGTGTGATAGCTATATTTTTGCTAACTCGTTCATAAGCAGTGTTTAATACGTTCTTAATCAGTTTAAACCCGTTTGCAATTAGTTCTACCTCATTCTCAACACGTCCGCAGACAGTTCAACTCGTTGTTAAAACGTCCCTAGTAGGATTGAAGAACGACGGTTCCGTTCGTAGTACGTCCAGCTCGTCGTTAGTACGTTGTCACTCGTTCTAATTGTAGAACGTGACGACCACGAGAACATTTTGAGCATTGTCTAAGTTCTAGAGGACCTACCCGTTCGAGTACGTTCGATGAAGTTTGTAAATAGATCCCAAACGGTTCTTAGTAGGTCCAGTCCGTTCGTATACAGTTGAAGCCCGTTTTCGAGAACGCAGTGAGAACTAGTTTGGTGTGATAGTAGGGTAAATAGAAGAGCATTGCAATTAGTTCTACTTCGTTCTAAAAGGTCCTCGGACAACCGTTGTAAAAACGTCCCTAGTAAGATTGAAGTACGACGGTTCCGTTCGTAGTACGTCCAGTTCGTCGTTAGTACGTTGTCACTCGTTCTAATTGTAGAACGTGACGACAATGAGACGTTTTGAGCATGTTCTAAGTTCTAGAGGACCTACCCGTTCGAGTAAGTTCGATGAAGTTTGTAAATAGACCCCAGACGGTTCTAAGTACGTCCAGTCCGTTCGTACACAGTTTAAACCCGTTTTCGATAACGTAGTGAGAACTAGTTTGGTGTGATAGTAGGGTTACTATTAAAGACATTATTTTTTGATTCTGTTCTGGGGTCACCCTGAATTAAAAACTTTTTCCTTAATTACGAACTATTATTGACTATAGAGGTAGATATATTGACCTATAATTTGATAAGGCATCGAGTTATCTATAGCCAATAAATTCACGATATATTATATTGAGACGACGTGTGACAGCTTGTTCAACTTAATTCATTCTTGAAAACAATAGTAGCATACGAAACAACACAATATTGGGAAACTATAAAATGTCAGAGACGAGTTATTTTTCTCCAAGTTATTGATTAATATGCACACTAATCGACCCTGGAGACTTTGAGACTTGACCGTTAAAAATGAAACGCCCAAGTATTGAATAACTCTCAAAACCACTCTAGACATTCTAAAAGTCTCGTTTTGAATTGTTTATGTACAACTTCTGAAAATTCAGTCCTCGATAGAGGATTGTGGCGCCAGATATATTTGCCACTGACATTTGAATGGCGCTTAATTATGGTACTATGATATTATATTATTACCAAATATGTTAACCGGACTTTCACTTGAAATATGTCGAATTACGGCCATACACTTTAGATCTCGAATTAACAAAGACCACTCTACATCTGCCTGCATTCGGGTCGATTCGAAAAATTGTCACAATATTCAACTTTCAAAAATTTATGGTAAAATGACATCTTAATTATAGGTCTAAAACCATGCGAGGCCGCTATGGCTTCACCGATGTTATGTCACCACAAAAAAACAAATGAGAGAGCGGTTGTCGCTGATGGGACAGTGACTTAATACGGCGAAATTTCTAGCATGATCCAACAATGAGAGTGACAAAATAGAAAAATTAATCAAATAAGACTAAGAGAACATTATTAATTTCATGCATTAAAATAAGCAAAATTTATGAAGAATGTGTAAATTCGACAATTTTATGCATAGTCACATGCATCATTTATCTCCATTTATCGCATCAATGGTTATGTTCAAAGACCTTATTTATATGCGGATCAAATGAAAAAGGTCTGTTGTCAGTATTTTAAAGTTAATTAAATGAATGGTATAATAATATGTAATATATTTTTGATCTTCAAATGGCAATGTGTTGAATGAACATACGTTTTTGAATAACCTATCTTCGGATGTTTAGAGGTAATTAATTACATATCGCAACCATGTACCTTCGGTAAAACACTACGTTCTCGAAAACGGGCTTTAACTGTGCAAGAGTGGATTTGACGTACTAAGAACCCACTAAGAACCGTTTGGGATCTGTTTACAAACTTCATGAAACTGCTAGAACGAGTAGGTCCTCCAGCACTTAGAGCATGCTCAAAATTTTCTGGTGATCGTCAAAACGTTGCCGAATCGGTTTTAAACTGTGTGCGAACTGAATGAACGTAGCCACAACGTTCTACGGTCTGTTTACGAACTCCATGGACTTTCCTGTCTGATTGGCTTTTCCTTCAGATTATTTTGGCTTAGAGAAGCCATATTTATTACTTCTAAGGGGTTACAATATAGATACATCCCCAAAAAAAATATTGTATTCTGTTTCGACTCATTGCGTTCAATTCTGACAGTTGGTTGTTCTCTTGGTTGTCCTGTTGATATCTTCAATATATTGTCGATATCGTGCTTAAGATTTGGTCTCAAAATATATCTAACCCTACTATCACACCAAACTAGTTCTCACTACGTTCTCGAAAACGGGCTTCAACTGTGTACGAACGGACTGGACCTACTAAGAACCGTTTGGGATCTATTTACAAACTTCATCGAACGTACTCGAACGGGTAGGTCCTCTAGACTTAGACAATGCTCAAAATGTTCTCGTGGTCGTCACGTTCTACAATTAGAACGAGTGACAACGTACTAACGACGAGCTGGACGTACTACGAACGGAACCGTCGTACTTCAATCCTACTAGGGACGTTTTAACAATGAGTTGAACTGTCTGAGGACGTGTTGAGAACGAGGTAGAACTAATTGCAAACGGGTTTAAACTGATTAAGAATGTATTTAACACTGCTTATGAACGAGTTAGCAAAAATATAGCTATCACACCAAACAAGTTGCCACTGCGTTCTTCAAAACTGGTTTGAAACTGTGTGCGAACGGAATGAACGTAGCTGCAACTTTCTAAGGTCTATTTACGAACTTTATGAACGTTCTCAGACGGGAATGTGATTTTAGAATTTTGAATAGATTCAAAATTCGATGGCGACCATACCGTTCTATAATCAGGTCATGTTGACCTTCTAGACTAAGGGACGCGTTCTACTTCGTTGCACACCGACATGGTGCGACCTGAACGAACTGCGAACGAGATGGACGTATTGAAGACTGTTTAAGAACGAAGAAGCTAATTATTTCAGACATATTTCCCGACCACAGCCAGATTGAGCCCGTTTTACGACGTTTTCGTAGGACTGGCAAGAACGGGTAAGAACTAGTTTGGTGTGATAGGGGGGTAAGGTATATATGATGTTTTATGAGCAATTATATTGAGACATTACTTATTGTCCAGAATAGAAATCTGGACGACTCGATCTCTTTAACTGAGATTACAAAAACATTAACTCAGAATTCAAATATTTTAATAGTAAGATTAAGAGAACTATCCTTATTCACAATATCAAACATGAACTCAACAACGACATAGAAAACGAGGCTCCCGGGTCTGTTTGAGGGTGCTAGGAAAAAGATCAAGCCAAGGTCAATTCTACCAATACCCCATCAAATTCAGATATCTTTAGAAAAGCAAGGGGCGATGTCGAAACCTCGATATTTCCGAAAAGTGAAGTGAGGAGTTTTGCTTTATATAATGACACACCGAACAAATGAATAATTTCGGAAACATCATTATTCTTATTATTTAAAATTGATCATTGCGGGCCATTTTTGATATGATACATTTTGCATACATTTGAGGTTCATTTATGTTAGCCTGCGTTTCGCCAAATTCATTGTAAGACAGAACTTATTCCAGAGAATTGAGATGAAATATCATTATCAGACAAAAGACTTAAACTTAGTATCCTAGCAGACTTTTCATTCTAGAAATATATACTGGAATCATAATGTAAATCGATAATGAGTCCAATAATATGTTTTTGATGTCTATCATGTAAATAACTCATGAAAAAATGCTTGAGAACTAGCTGAGCGGAATAACTTCTAAACAAGTTATAGCTGCCAATAATGTTTGCTTCGGCAACTTTTTGAAAAATCTTTGTAAAAAAATTACTATGATAATAAAAAACAACAACAACAACAACAACAACAAGTTACTTTCTGACAAACGTCTGATGAAAGTAGTGAAAATGAAATAAATCCTACAAGAAACCAAGGTTGATTCACTTACGGTCCTCCGTCTATTCTCGTCTTGTGATGTATATCATTCCATGTTATACCTTCACGGTTGTTCGTGCTCGACTGCCCTATAGTAAAAATCAAACGAGCATCAAATGCTTCTTTTAGTAGATCCAATATTTCATTTCCTTCCTTGTTATCTGGCAAGTATGCTTTCCTGTTTGTCCCCGCGTATGACCTCCCTGGATTTGGGTGACACTCCTAAAAATAATTGAATTGGACACGACAATGAAACTATGCAGTCAAAAAGAAACAAAAATGTTGACATCCGTTCAAATTCTCCTATAAAAAGATTTGCCATGAAATGATGTTATTGAAGGAGAAACAGAGGGGAATTCACCTTACTAAATCTGTAGGAGATTGTCAAAGTATAAGTAAGCGCATCTTTTCTCTAGTTTCAATTTGTTCGAATATTATTTTCTGAAAATATTTTTTAGATATAATTACCCCTTGGTTACCACTGGGGATGCTGTAATTTATCGTTATTACACCGCATCCTTCGTAACCAGGGATGCGCTTCTGTTGGTCAGTACTCGTCTTCATAGTTCCCCTCTTCGGCTGATTTCCTTTAATCTTTCCGAAAAAGCATCCGCACACGGGACATTGAGGTTTGGATTTCATCCACTTCGTGATGCATTCGCCACAGAATGCATGACCGCAGTTCAATTCTTCCCGTTTACATATTGTGCCATGGCATATGATACACTTCTCGATATCCGATGACTGACGATCTAGTGTAGGGGCATTGATGCATTTTAAGCACTGCTTCACTGCATAATCATTTGCGAAGTACTTTTTACAGGCAGAGCAGTACCAATGCCCGCAACTCATTTGTATAATTCCAAGCGTTCCGTCGTCACATTGATTGCAATAGTTTTTGACCTTGGAATAAGGTCCATTCGGCGACGTAACTTCACTGCCAGTATATTGCAACATATCAGTTAGTGTCTCAGGGCTATAATCTTTATCTTCTCGAAACCGCCTGAATTCAGTCACAACTGCAGTTGTCATGTCCTCGAGAATATTGACAAACCGTATGTCCTTCATTGTTGTTGATCGTCCCTCTTTTTTGCTGAATTCCATCAGTGCTACATACATGCTCCTTACACAAATGTCTTGTGGCACCCCAAATATACCTAATAATAGTTAATAAAAACCTTGATTACGGACATTTAGTACACATCAAACGTTTTGTGTTTTGTATGAATAACTCTAGTTGAATAAATATGTCATTTTGTTATGAGACACATTAGAAATGAACATAGCATCGATTAACATTAATTGTTGTTGATCGTCCCTCTTTTTTGCTGAATTCCATCAGTGCTACATACATGCTCCTTACACAAATGTCTTGTGGACACCCCAAATATACCTAATAATAGTTAATTAAAACCTTGATTACGGACATTTAGTACACATCAAACGTTTTGTGTTTTGTATGAATAACTCTAGTTGAATAAACATGTCCTTTTGTTATGAGACACTTTAGAAATGAACATAGCATCGATTAACATTAATTGTTGTTGATCGTCCCTCTTTTTTGCTGAATTCCATCAGTGCTACATACATGCTCCTTACACAAATGTCTTGTGGACACCCCAAATATACCTAATAATAGTTAATTAAAACCTTGATTACGGACATTTAGTACACATCAAACGTTTTGTGTTTTGTATGAATAACTCTAGTTGAATAAACATGTCCTTTTGTTATGAGACACTTTAGAAATCAACATAGCATCGGTTAACATAATAGTAGCCAAGACAGCACAAGTCCAAAATCGGTATATGTACTCTCATTTCTTCACTTTTGAGAGTCAAGTTACTGCATTTTGAATGCGTATTCCTTGGAGAAATCCTCATTTCGAATTTCATTGGTTTTGATTATAATTTATTAGACAAGGCACATGGTGAACAATATCGTACCTAAGACATAGCAGTGAGGACTTCATGACCCAGAAGTCAAGATGGCTGCCGAAAAAAAATAATCAACTCAAGAACTTCTTATCAAGTAAATCCGTTAAGTGGTTTTCTTGTCATCGCGATGACAAAAATTATCTAAGAACTTCCAAAATGGCCACAAGAATGGCTGCTAAAAATTTAATCAGCTCTAATAGTCTTACCAAGTAACATTTGTGAAAATTTGGAGTAAATTCATCTGGTGGATTTGCTGGAATATCGATAACAAGATTTATCTAAAAACTTCAAAGATGCCGCCGGAATGCAAGCTGGCCACCAAAAAGTGAACTAGCTCTAAAACTTATTACCATGTAAAATGAGTGAAAATTTGAAGGAAATCTATTAAGTGGTTTTCTGGAATCGGGATGACAAGATTTATCTAAAAACGTCCAAGATGGCCGCTAGAATGCAAGATGACCGCCGAAAGGTTGATCAGCTCTCTAGAACTTCTTTCCCTGTAGCATGTGTTGAAACTTGAAGTAAACCTAATAGTCTTACCAAGTAACATTTGTGAAAATTTGGAGTAAATTCATCTGGTGGATTTGCTGGAATATCGATAACAAGATTTATCTAAAAACTTCAAAGATGCCGCCGGAATGCAAGCTGGCCACCAAAAAGTGAACTAGCTCTAAAACTTATTACCATGTAAAATGAGTGAAAATTTGAAGGAAATCTATTAAGTGGTTTTCTGGAATCGGGATGACAAGATTTATCTAAAAACGTCCAAGATGGCCGCTAGAATGCAAGATGACCGCCGAAAGGTTGATCAGCTCTCTAGAACTTCTTTCCCTGTAGCATGTGTTGAAACTTGAAGTAAACCTAATAGTCTTACCAAGTAACATTTGTGAAAATTTGGAGTAAATTCATCTGGTGGTTTTGCTGGAATATCGATAACAAGATTTATCTAAAAACTTCAAAGATGCCGCCGGAATGCAAGCTGGCCACCAAAAAGTGAACTAGCTCTAAAACTTATTACCATGTAAAATGTGTGAAAATTTGAAGGAAATATATTAAGTGGTTTTCTGAAATCGCGATGACACGATTTATTTAAAAACTTCCAAGATGGTCGCCAGAATGCAAGATGGCTACTAAAAAAGTAATCAGCTCGAGAACTTCTTGCCATAAACATGTATGAAATTTTAAAGTAAATTCGTCGAGTGGTTTTCCTGGAATCATGATGACAAGAAAGTGTGACGGCGCCCGCCCGCCGCCCGTCAAGCTGAGAGCAATATTGTACCTTTTAGGTACGATGATAAACATATGGAAGCATTTGAATCTGATTGGTCTCTTAAATTGCCATTGTAAGGGACAAATGCAACATTTTGTCGTAATTAATATAAATGACATTTACAATATGATGTCTTATTGACAAAAACTATCATATTATTAATCATTTTATTTTCAAGTCATCAGACCATGCCAAAGTGTAGCTCAATGAGATATTCATTGATTGTGACAAGTAGAAAATTGGTGCCAAACCATAACATCAAATCATTGCTTTTCTTCTGATGTCATAATATGAGGCTTTAAAATTATGTCAAATACATCACCATTCATTTGATAAAAATGATAACTGGAATAAGTCAAAACGTATTTCCACTACCCTTTCCCATCCTTTCAGGCAATTTAAACGTATCGAAATCAGAAAAATCCAGGCATCCTCAGGGATCTGTCTTTGCCCCATTCTGTTCAAAATATCATATTTCTGCATAGCATTTTTTCTCCAGACATTGACTTGGATTTTTATTAATTACGTCAAAATGTTGCATTTGTCACAAAAATGGCAAATGTTGATTAAAGGCCTCGACCAATCAGAATCAAATGTTTCACTATATTTAATAATAAATTCGTATTACACCTCATACATAATCTAAAAAAGGATTTCTTTAGGGAATTATAACGTATGCAAAATGTGGTGGCTTAAATCTTAAAAGTGAATAAATGAGAGTAGATATATAAACTTTGGACTTGCATTTTCTGGGCCTCGTTTTCGCAATTTCTGAAAGGAGGATCTGTAATTAATTTATTTCATTACCGGAACTTATTGCAGGTATCGCAATAGATATTGCTTTTATCTCCAAGCTTGCCTTACTAAAGCTGTTGTAAAATGTTTCAACCAAGTGACGTTCACAATTCGACTTGTCTCGGTAATTCTTCCAACGAGGGCCTATGGCGTGAAGGATGTACTTGCACTTAAGTCTAGATTCCTTTCCTACTTTGGTGAAAACCACATCAGTCACAGTCAGTGGCTTTGAGGAACGTCTTATTATATCATCACAATCTCGCTGGATGTCTGGTCCCCCCGCTTCTGAAATCGCTAGAGCTACCCCTCCCCCATGTTTAAGTTTTTCGTTAGCGGCGTTAACTATAACATCAGCGTCTTCACTTGTTATATCTCCCTGGTAAACCGAGACATCGATTCCCTCATCAGTTTTGAATTTCAGCGTTTTATGTTGATTCAATTTTCGGGATGTCGGTATATCAGACAATTCTTGTAGAATATTCATATCTTTCTCGTCTCGTGTTTTTACCTTTATTCCAAGAATCTTTTTAATATCAAAAATTGCCTTGGTCGCATCTTGTTTTACACCAATTGCCTGAATCACGGGCCCATCGATATGATATAAGACATCCGTGTTTTTTGCACTTTGTACAATTGATTCTAGATTTTTATTTTGAATCTTCTCAGCATCTATCTCGATTGTTTTACGAACGATGTTAGGCGAAATCTCGTCATGTAATTTTTTCAAATCATCCAGTCCCTTTTCTCTCCCCCGCCGTCTATGCTCTAGACCTTGATTTACAGTGATAAAGACCTCTTGGTCCGAACTCTTTTTCTTTGTGAACTTGACATTGTTTTCGCTCTGTATTTTAACCAACTCATCATCCTTACGTTTTAGAATATAGTCCCAAACGTGCGTAAACATTGGAAGCGAAAACGTTTGATCATCGTCAGAAATATCTGTCTCTGCTGATTCTGTGAGCGAACTCGCTCGTTTAAAACCAGAAAAAATCTTATGGCTTAGAGTCCCAATGTTAGCAATGTCTGAGTCGGTATTGCAAGATGGATCTAGCCCCGATATCTCACAGTTATCCTCAATGAGTTCTTTAGGTTTCAAGTCAGGTTGTGCTTTTACACTAGTACCAGTTTGTTTATTGTTTTCTTCTTCACCATGGTTTTCGAAATGCTCTTGCGAGTTATCAGGAGTACGGGGAGTGCCCTGGGCAATGTCAAAGTGGTCGTTCTTGGAGTCAATGCTAGAACATTGACTAAGATTATTGCTCATAGCATCCTGAGTCTGGCTGTCTCTTTTCCGTCTGTCGACTGAATGAAATGATTCTGTGTCGTTCTCCGAATAGAATCTAGAACTTCGTTTCGAACTAACTCTGGTATCATAACTTTGGACATCCCATGCGCATGTCTTACAAAGTCCTCTGTGGCTAGTCTGAATTTCTATGTTATGTCCATGTTTGGCATCGATGCAATTTGCCTCGTGTTCGATATGTTCATATTTTAAAGGATTCGATTCCCCGTCTCCCCGATGTCCCCGCTGATTTGCCCCATGGATCTCTCTTCCAAATGCTTCCAGTCGATTGTTCCCCGACTGATCAAGTCGTTCCAGAATTGCATTTCGTTTCTCAAGTTTAATAATTTTGTTCTCTTGTGTTTTAATCGTATCCTCTAGTGTTTTAATCTTATCCTCTTGTGTTTTAATCTTATCCTCTTGTGTTTTAATCTTATCTAGAAACTCGCTTTCTTTGCACTCAACAAAGGATGGGTATGACGATTTCTCATTTAGTTCCGCTATGTTCGTCTTACTGCCTTGCACTTGCCCTGCACTATCAACAATGCTTCCAAATTGTGGCTTTTCTGGATCTGAAATATGTATGATATTGCATTTGTTTGAATATCTTTTATCTGGGTAAAATGTATTATTTCATGATGAAGCGATCATTGTTGCTAATTTTATAATACCATTAATTGCTTTTAAAACGACGTCCACAAGGAACGGGCATTTGTAAAGTAAAAATTAAATGACTTTTCTTACATTCCATTCGATATTCTAAGGGCGTTTCTTTTTACAAACTCGGATCATCCCTACTTTTGGACATAATTATTTATTTTATGACCAATAGTTACATAAAAATATCAAAAATATAAAAATATCAGCCCAATAGGTCGATATTTAGACACACCATCACCACGAATTTTGTTTTGTATGGGGTCCGCAACGATTCAAAACATTATGTGTTTGAGGTCTATAACCAAATCACAGATGTTGAGAAGAAAATTCATAAATTAGCAGTTCGAAAACTAAATGAAACAACAATTGACTGATTTTTCTTCAAATGTGCTATCAAATCTCCTAGAACTAGGGCTCATGAATGCATTTTAAAGGCATTTCGACCATAAAACTCTACATATTATACACATTAATTACCCATTAAATTGAATGAAAATAATTTGTGCCAATTGTTGTTTCATTTGCATTCAAGTTCCACAGATGACTGGGAGTTTTTACCAACTTTTTGAAAATGCAATTTCAGTGCCCACTATAACAAGTACAAGTACATTGTTTTCAAAAAACCGTAGCAATGAGATAGTATCACGGTCATTTGAGCAGATTCAAGGTTCTTGTCTTAATACGTCTTACCGATATATCGGCGTTAAAAAGTGGGTTAAGCTATCATGAGTGCTGTTTTTACATATTTCGAACTTAAACTGCTAATTTATGAATTTTCTTCTCAACATCTGTGATTTGGTTAGACCTCAAACACATAATAGATACAGAAATGTGTTTTGGAGGGTAAAATGAAAAAAAATTAATTTACTTACATACAGTTTCTCCTTCAGCACGGCTTAACTCTTCACGATGAGGAAGATTGTTTGAGGATTGAAACTCGTTGAATGCTTTCCATATCGATTCTATATGAGACCAAGGTCTTTGAACCATCTTCAAACCATTTGCTTTTCTCTTTACTGCAAGAGCTTCTATCTTTAAGAATTCTTCCAATTTTTCAACACTTGGGTCAATGTAAGCATCAACAGTCTCATATAGCTATAAACGCAAATCAAATAAAAGTATGTATTTCATACTTGAGTGGGTTTGGGGTAGATATCACCCGGGAATATATATCATATCTGAGGAGCGGGCAGGATATATTGTATATGTCCCGCTCTAGGCCAAATGCGGGCAGATATAATATATCCATCCCGCTCCCGGAAATTTTTTCAAAAGTTTAAAAAAGTTTAAAAATTTTAAAAATTTAAATTTCAGAAGTTTAAAATTTTTCAAAAAGTTTAAATGTTACAATTCTATTGTATTGAACTGAAGGAATATTATGAAAATGTTAAATATAAATTGTGCTTTTACAGTAAAGGCCTATCTTGTCATTTGAAAAAGGTGGAAAAGGTTATATCTACCCCAAACCCACTCAAGTATGAGATACACCAGTTATGTACGGTCGGTTAAAACCTCCCAGTACATAACCCTTATTTATCCCATACTTGGACGTGTTACAGGTACATAAAGGCGGTTTGTAAAAACTTATATTTTCATCAGCGGGCAGATAAAGCTTTACGTCCCGCTCCCAGCGGGCAGATATAGGCTAGTATATATGCCCGCTACGTTATAATCGCTAGCTGTTCCCGTATTGGTTCGTTTTTGTAACGTTCGCATACTGTAAACGACAATGGAGAAAACGCAGACAATCGCGATCTGTTTGATGCTTTAAATAAGGGAAGGAGCAGTATGCCCCGTTAATAGTCAAAGATTTGAACAGGAAAATTCGGCTACGGACAAGAATACAAAACTGGACATGAATATTTTAAAATAATTACACGGTTGGTTGCAAAGTTTCTGAACTGCGGCCAATTGGACAATGTGATTGGTATGGGATAAACAGATCATCCTATAGTCGGTTCGGGATATTGGGATTATCCCTTGGCCAACATAATATATCTACCCTCGGGACCTACGGTCCTCGGGCAGATAATGCCTCGGGATAATCCCAATATCCTGACCTCATATAGGATAATCTCTATATAGTAAACAGTACTTAACGTTTAAACGTATTATTTGGACTAACCATATATAGTATTATATCACTTTGGCTAGTCGATCTATGTGGATGCAGTCATTTATATTCAATGTATCGTGCGTGCTCGCATACATTATATGGAATGGGATCATTGCAAAAATATGACAGCAAATCGAGGTAAGTGATCTCAGAGTTTCTACTTAACATTGTGCATAGTGTGACAATGTGTGAAAGTTTCAGCTACCATATTCCTGTTATAGGGAAGATATTTGAAAAACATTTCGTAAACGTCAAAATATATGTATAAAATGGATGCCACTATGTATCATTTGGATTCAGAACGGTAACAAATGGATCTTATAATAAATTATACTTTTATCATGATGATTTATTTACTGATGGACAAATGGCCAGATTTTCTTTGTATCCATTGTTTGGACATTCCTCATTCAGAAAAGTAATTAGCCACACCATTACGAGACACCCTCATGAAGAAGTGAAAATACTATATATAAACCCATCAACTGGAAAAATGCCATTACAGATGAAAAAACTATGGTTTTATCCCTAATACTGTTAATTTGAAAAACGCGTCCATAACATGTCATGTAACGATGACAATGAAAATGTTGAAATTAGGTACGCCAATGAAGTGAATTCAGAGCAAAAGACCCATCAACCCACTGGAATACCCACAAATCAAGTTTCATAGCCTTGCCCAAGTCGGTCTCTTTTACTTATCTTGATTTCTATTATGACCGCCTTGTACCCAAGAGAAAGCCACGTGCTTTACCGACCCAATGTTATTGTCGGTAAAATTTGACCAATCAACGACGGCCCTACATTGCCGGACTAGGTCTTCGTGCATTTCCATCGCGAATTCAGTTTTTATTTTGAATCAATATTGAATTACATGATTTCATTTATCCGAGTATTATGACTGCTTACATTCCAATGTGCATTTAATAACATAATATATTGTAACTCTCAAGAAACACTCGATCAGATCAGATAACGTTTTGATTGGTCAATCAGCCTGAAGTCACACGTCCTGTCCATGCGATCTTGTCAATCAATAAGGTAGCGTAGGTATTATGGGAATCTCGGAACTTCTGAATAACTAAGCATAAAATCAGCGATGATACATTGGATTGTACAAGGTGGCAATAATTCAAGATCAGATAAGTAAATAAATACCGACTTGGGCAAGGCTACAAGTTTCAGAGCCATTAACATACCTTAAAAGTGACAATGAGCAGCCAACATATGGCCATCCGTAAATCTTGATAATTTTGTCAGGTCAGCTGAACGAGCCTACAGATTCCTTGAAACAAATGACCCAAATTCAAGAATAACATTATCTATTTACAATTTATTGAAATCGTGGTAAGTGGAATCTTTCCAATTACCAACATAGCATTATTATTGTTTTTGGACACTGTGGATTGAAATATTAAAAATACACACATTTTGAGTTATCTATTCTTCGTAAAAATATCAGAGAATGTGTGTTTATAGCGTGGCTTTGGTTTTGTAAATCAATGAAGTATGATATACACGGATGAGTAAATATAGATTATTTAAACAGAAGTGCAAAATTCTTCCATTGAAATGTACAGAGGCGAGCACCCACGATACATTGCATATAAATGACTACATCCACATAGATCGACTAGCCACAGTGTATATATGCAATCCAAAATATGAAAGTGTTCCTAAAATGGTCTGAAGCAACGAAGATTTACAGTTACAACGAATCATAGGGAAAACGAATCCAAAATGTTCAAACTGTGATCTACACATTTTAGCACTATATTTCAAAATGATGTGGGATCATTATTCGTTCAACAATAACAATCTATTTCTAATCTACACACCTTAATTTATATCCAAAGAACATGTGTACGTTTTTATAGAATTTATTACATAAAATATTTAGAGGTTATGTCACTATCGTGGCATATATGCCCGAAGTCTCAGTGATATATGGCCCGACCTTGGGACATTATTGATCTTTGAGAACCGAGGGCGTATGTGCCACGATAGTGACATAAGCGATTTATAACATACCTATGATGATGTAGACTGGTCAGAGAGTACATTTTTTTTCTTATAGAATTGACAAACAAATGGTTTAAAAATGATTGATTGGTTATGACGTCAGCGCCTTGACCAATCAGAAAGTTAGCGGGCGCGGGCTTTTCAAAACTTATATTGGCCCGCTGTCTTTTATACACTTTGCACTATACATCATCATAGGTATGTTATAAAACATATTACAAAACTTTTTGGCATGGGAGACGGCTATCTATCGATCAGTATACGAAAGAAACGATTACGTAATCATGAGAAAGTGTTACGCAATGACAGCCCAAAATCATGATTATGCAACCTTATATAATCATTTATCTTTGGGATAAGAGAGAGCTCCGTGGAGACCGAGTGCTGAGATAGATAGTCGCCTCCGAAGTCCGGCCACCCGATACCCCCTATATTAAGGGGGCGAAGGGGTGGGGGCGGATAAGCGTCCGACTTCCTCAAGATGCGAAGCCAATTATAAGACTGTGTAAACCAAACTACTACAGGACAGGTGGTAAAGGATTAAGATAAGTTATTGTGCTGGCCTAATTGGATCTGTCAACAGACTTTTTATTGGGCTGGTAGGACAGACACCGCTCTCTGAGACATAAACCAGATTTAACAAATTACTTATTCAATCACAATCAATTTCCAAAGAACATGTGTACGTTTTTATAGAAGTTATTACATAAAATATAACATATTACAAAATTTTGGGCATGGGAGACGACTATCTATCGATCAGAGCTTGCGTAATTGTTTACAAAAGAAACGATTACATAATCATGAGATAGTGTTACGCAATGACAGCGCAAAATCATGATTATGCAACCTTACATAATCATTAATCTTTGGGATAAGAGCCCAAAAACAAATATTCTCGTGAACGAGTGATTAGTTATAACAATTGAATGCTCCGTGAACGAAAGGATACGCCGTTCCCCAAAGTAATATACAGACTTTGGGAAATTCTGACAAAATGGGAAAATAGATAAATCAGTTGAAGTAGGAGCACAGCAATGCGTGAAAAATTCCAACTTCGTCTTCCACCTTACCCTTACTAATATTTCAAAGCATTTTACTTTTAGTGTACAGGGCGTCCATAAAGTTTTTGCAAAATTATTCTATTTTTGATTTTTCAATCAATCTGGCTGTTATTTTCACTTAATTTACCTCCACTATTTAAACATTCGAATTTTTAAGTATAATGAGAAGGTCCTTGAGAAAAAAGTTATTTTTGTTGGTAACATAAGTCAGGTGCGACTGGGGGCATTATAATCATGTTAATTATAGACCACGATGGGCAGGGTGGGCATCCTTTTTTATTTCATGGAATTCCATAAAGTTTTGGCAGGATATGCAGAAACCAATATTAATTTTGGAAAAAGTGGAATAAATAGATGTTAGAGTATTTTTTTAAATAATGAAGACACCAAGGTCTAGACGAAAAGGTGAAGATTTCAGGAAGAAATTCAAATCAGAAATTACATAATGATACTATCCATGACTCATATCAGATTGACTCGTTATGCATACAGCCAGAGAAACGTGAAATATATTGTGTATACACTATTGTAATGTCTATTTCTGATAGAAATAAAAACATCAAGAGTATTATGAGACTATTTAGGAAGATAAGACTATTTCAACATAAGAAAAACGAAACTTGCAGGCGATTCTCAATGAAAAATGATGTTCTTTTATTGACTTGTAATTTATATTTAGTGTTAATCTGAGTATTGAAGGTCAATAAAGATGTGCGGGCTCAATCAACCACCATTCTGAATTTTCCTGATACACAGATGAGATCTCAGAATAGTTTTCACTGTGAAGACAGGTTTTCCCAAATCACCATTTATCTTGATGCTGAATCAGTTTTCTACGTCTTACATATTTGTCCTGATACTTCCAATATAATTTCAATTCAAAATATACCCTAGTATGTATTTTCTGACAGATTGACTATTATGTCAATATGGTACTTTAGTCTGATGCATAACTTATATCAGTGAAAATTATCTTTATTTTTTTCAAATGGAGCTCTAATGTATAGTTTCCATTATTATTCAAAACCACAAAAGATTTATATATCCCACTTTAAGAATAATTGTAAAACTGATTTCTGTGTATCCTGCTAAAATAGTCCGGAAATGAAAATAATCGTGAAGATTTAAACAAAACAGATCCGTTCGCCTGCTGTGCAGCGCCTAGCCCCAATACTCGTTTCCCAGTTTGACTTTCCCAAGATGCCTGGCCCCAATTCTTGTTACTTTATCAATCATAATTTTCAGCCAGATCATCTGAAAAACAAAAAAATTAAGTACTACTGAAGGGATTTTATGAACGCCTTGTAATTATGCGTATATTCCGTTTACCTTGCTTTTACTTTTTGTGTGATTCTTCTTTGCTATGTAACTTCCTGCACATTTTATTTGGTAGTAATTTCCAGTCAATGTTTTTTTATGAACATCTATCGTCACACCCGTTTCACTTTTTATATCATCCATGCCTTTAGATATGATGCTCTGCCATACTGATTTACACGGAGTAACTTGAATCTCGTTGAAAAGCACCATGGTAAAAGCTTACAGACAGTACCGCTTCAATTCAAATTAAACTCGTCTCGATTGTCTCTGTTTCTCCCTCTCCGTCAATTGAATTTAAAAAATCAACTGGCGTTTAACGTGCTCAATCTTGTTCCTTTGCTATCCATATTCTCTGGTTATGGAAACGGGATCTAAAACAATCATCGATCTATATGTACATGTATATTTTCATAAATATTCGATCGCTACATCAGGCCCTGGGACTTTAGAGCACATTTATTTTAAAACGCTTATTTTATGAACAGTTACCTCGGAATAGAGGAAAAAAGTAGCATGGATTTTAATGTAGCCAATATGAACACCCAACTTTCACTTATCAAATATCGATATAGTCTAGAATGTAAAAATCTGAGTAGCTAAGTTCATATATATTCACCACGGTATAGCTGAGGGTACTTTATAATCACTGTCTGTATATTCTCGACTACACAAGGGTTATTTAATTGGGGATTTTGGATACAGAGTATACCCCTAAGGATAAATAGGGAATATCCTATATGAGACTCGGGCAGATATGTTATATTTTCCTCAAGATAATCCCATTATCCTGAACCGACTATAGGATGATCTGTTTATCCCATACCAATCTTGGTCATTTGGTTCACATTATTCTCATTTGGCCACAGTTCAGAAACTTTGCAACCAACTGTGGAATGTCAAGTTTTGTATTCTTGACCGTAGCCGGATTTTCCTGTTCCTTCTTATATTTATCCACATTTATTTTCTCGAATCGTTGATTATTAATAGGGGATAATGCTCCTTCCCTTCTTTAAAGCATCAAACGCGAGTGTCTGTGTTTTTCTCCATTGTCGTTTACAGTTAATGCAAACGAATAATATGAAGAATGAACAAATATGCGAACTGCGATTATGACATAGCGGGCAGATATACTATATCTGCCCGCTCGAAAAGGGACATAAAGCTCGCTGATGAAATATATGAATTATTAAAACCGACTTTATGTACCTGTAACACGTCTATGGGATAATACAAGTTATCCCATACTTGGACGTGTTACAGGTACATAAAGCATGTTTGTAAAAACTTATATTTTCATCAGCGGGCAGATATAGCTTTACGTCCCGCTCCGAGCTGGCAGATATAGTATACCTATAGTAGAGAGGTTAAGCAAATACGGTTTTTCAAAACCTATACGTAAACGCAAAGTACATTGAATCAACATAGGATTGTATCGCTTTAGTCTACTTCAGATACCCGTTCAACTTCAAAGTTGCGTGTTTAGAACGGGAGATTTACATATTTCACGTTGCTATCAACGGGAATCATTATACTCATGTCTGTTGAATACTATCCTTGCAATTTTGATTTCGATGCAGAGTATAATTCTTTCTGAAGAAGATGATGTATGTTACGCATGATTTAACTCCAATAATCTTACGAAACGAGCTCGTTTAAAATATGTATTAGAAAACCAGCTATTGAACTTCATCAATGGCATACTATGTAATCATTACAAGCTATGGTGTAGTCTAAACAAACACTAGAGCTGAACGGCTATTTATGTGTGAACTCTACATGTATTTGTATAGGGGCCATTGATACGTTTAAGTTGCGTTCTGGATTTTATACGGTAGCTTAACCTCTCCAGTATATCTGTCCGGCCACTTTATAATCGCCGTCTGCATATTGGTTCATTTTTAACGTTCGCAAAATAACTGTAAACAGCAATGGAGAAAACGCAGATAATCGTGATCTGTTTTGATGGTTTGAAGAAGGGAAGAAGCATACTGTTAATAATAAAAGATTCGAGAATAGAAATATCTGAAAGAAAAGGAAAATCCGGCCACAGCCAAGAAAACAAAACTGGACATAAATGTTCTAAAATAATTCTACGGTTTGTTGGAAATGTGTTCTGAACCCTGGCCAATTGAACTATGTGAACCAAATGACCAAGATTGGTATGGGAGAAACAGATCATAGTATAGTCTAGTCTGTTCAGGATATTTGAATTATCCCTTGGCCAATATAATATATCTGTCCGTGGGCCGTAGGTCCCGAGGGTATAATCCCAATATCCTGAACCTCTTATAGGATAATCTCTATATATCCACCCGAGAAGTCAGGGAAGATATATTGCATTTCCAAAGGATAACATCCTAAATCAAAAACAACCCATTAGATATTTGGATTTTATCCTTTACTTAGTTATGTAAGTTTACGATTTTTATATCACTTAGTGCACGATGATACACTGTACAAAATTATCAGGTGTCTTGAGCGGGATATACACCGGGAAATAAAACGAGATATATAGAGGTTATTTACTGGGAGGGATTCAAAATTTATGCACTTGTCGAAATATACCGCCAATCAGACTAGCAAATAGACTTCTAACTACGCTATTGAAAGGATGGACGTCCCGCTTTCTATTTTTTGAAACATTTCGATTCTACGATTTTAAGATTCCCACTGCAGCTGGGGTTAAATAAAACCGCATATTCGCGGACACTCGGTTGTCTGATATTACCGTACATGGTACACGATATGACCGCCGTCGATGGTCTATTACTGGCGACTCTTGCAGTGAGCTTGGTCCACTGACGAAGAAAAATCAAAGGTTGATTTGATTTGATATTGTGAATATCGGCAGAAATAAGGTACGTTCGGGGTTTTGTAGTTATTGGAAATAGATGTTAGCTTTGATGAAAGTTTTCAAAATTCGAATTCAACCTTGAATCGCGACCAGTAAATAAGTTGTTTCATCCATGATATTCACAGCTCTAGCTCTTCGTGGAATCATTAGCTCAAAATTCATATCTAATTTTTGTATAAAACAAAACCAGACTAATATTTAGTCTACAAAATATGACTTAACTTTATGACGTTTTGAGATATAACTAATTTACACTATAAAGCACGTCAGCTTCAACAAATTAACTATATACGTTAACATGTCTATCACAGGGCATGCGGATTTGATCAGATTTCTATACCGTTGACTGTCCGTGCCAGAGCATGATGATGAAATTACAATTCGCCTGTTAAATGTTTAATCCAGTTTAATCCACATAGTTTGAACGTTTCAAAATTTATACTTTTAATTTTGTTTAGAAAATATCATTATTGCACGCTATATCGACTCAGGTGGAGGTAATATAAAGCTTTCTCTGGCAAAAATTTGCGAGAGGTCCCTCGGGAAGATATATTGTATATCCCTCGGGATATTCCCTGTATCCAAAACCTCCCAGTGCATAACCCCTATGTATTCACCTCAATAGAGGGAATATTTGGTATATATTACCCGCTCACCTTAGACATCAATTATATTCCTGCATGCTATTTACCTATAACACTTCTAAGTATGGAATAAAAACATGTATATTCCGCTAACCTAAAATGTCAGATTTTAGCACTTGTCCGTCAGGTTGAATCCGCATGTTCATCAATATTTAATGAGAATGGTGCCACAATTAAAGTAATCCTCTGGTTATTTCAATATACCTATTTAGCGTGTAAATGATAATTTGATGTCACATATCGGTGAAGCAATATCTATCACTGCTACCCACCTGATTACACAGACGTATCGTCGGTGTATCATGGCGGAACTTCCTCCGGAACTAGGTTTCGGTAAGATTTTTTTATTTCCCGATTTACACCTACTTATAAGTCACGTTGTGGATAATAATTTGGCTCGAAGTTAAGGAAGATAGTGTAGTTTGAGAATGTGTCGATGGTTTTAGGTTTTATATGTTAACAAAGACACAATTCACGTATTTAGTCCCTCGCTTTTCTTACACTGACGAACGACCAATGTCAGTGTAATATTGGCAATATTAATGCCGATCGTCAGTGTAAGAAAAGCGAGAGACTAAATACGTGAATTGTGTCTTTGTTAACATATAAAACCTAAAACCATCGACACATTCTCAAACTAGACTATCTTCCTTAACTTCGAGCCAAATTATTATCCACAACGTGACTTATAAGTAGGTGTAAATCGGGAAATAAAAAAATCTTACCGAAACCTAGTCCCGGAGGAAGTTCCGCCATGATACACCGACGATACGTCTGTGTAATTAGGTGGGTAGCAGTGTCTATGATATGGCCTAATTTTCTGAATTTCCCCTGTGTCCCTGACTACCCCTACTTCAAAATATTATGTTCTTTTTCATTTTTTATCATGAACCAAGTTGAACCATAAATGTATTTTTCCTTGTCTCCATATAGAATGAAATTTCTGTTTCCGAAAGTTTAGAGATGGTACTATACTGCATTTATTTTTTCAGTATAGGGAGCGAACAAAGGTGTGTAAATTTGCATGGTAATATCTTACATAGTTATATTTTAATGGTAGTTTTATAGAATATTCAAAAAGCCATGTTATCAAATAGATTCATCCTTGTCAAAAACGTGAATGAGAATATGCGGTTTGAAAAACTTACATCTTTCAAGTTCTTGGTTGAAGCAAATATATTGAAAGTTGTAATTTCGAATGTAATCTCCTACTCAGTACAAATTGTTTGATATTTTCTAAGTTTTCCCAATGGAATGCACATTGCTTGGTCACAGAACCTTGCCTTGTTCGAGATGCACTAAAAGTGTAATGGTAATACTTGACGTCGTTTTGAGATTTGGATGTGATTAGCGTCGGTAATCTCTTTCCACTGTTACTCACAAATTAATTTTCGAAAGCCAAATATGATGGTGGGAATGATATTCAGGTGACAAGTTGATGCATACATCATATGTGAACAGCATCTGTCGAATAAGTGCCGACTTACATTTATATAAATCCACAATTTAACTCAAATCATAAATGCTCAAAACGCTTTATCATCTTAAGTGGTGAGTCCAATGTTTCAATTAAATTTATAATTATGGTATCGAATTAGAGTATGATTTTAGATGAGATTTAAATAAACCTATTTAAATGCATGAAACCCTTGTGAAAATTCGAACGATTTTTCAAGAATCCTCCTTCAAAGTGTTACCAAAGTGCTCCCCGGGAATGGACATTTCGTCTTGTGCAATCAAAATTATAGAGGGTAGTTTAAATTTTTGTTTGAGTTTATAGCTCACATCTCTAAATTTAATAACATATCATCTCATAGAAAGGTACATGCAGTTTTTGGCGATACATCATGATAGAAGGATACATTTTGTGAAAAATACGAGTTGACACGCTGACATTTGGAATTGTAATTTCCTACATAGTTGTCGACTCATGATTAAAAGTCACAAAAACAAGGTTAAACATGAAATAAAGGAAAACATTAATCATGACTTAATTCGGCAACAGTTTTGCTTTAGAAACTTATCAATTTAGAAATGGAAAAAGCTCAATTTTGCTCATTTATAAAAAATGGCACCTCCAGGTGACATCGTTTACAAAATGATTTGAAACAGAGATATTTCCTTATGTAACATTTGTTGTCATGTCTCAGTGAGTAAATAAGAAGAATATACCTTTGATTCTATAGCTCGTCCCCAGAGGAATTTGTAAAGGAGCGGTATATCTTGAAGTGTTTATTGTACGGTATATATAAATAATTGCGACTCCCGTTGAATAAACTTCATCATAGCATAAGGAAATGAATTAGAATATAAAAATACAAATAATCGTTTGTTGTTCTTAATAAATCACACTTCAGTGAACGTGTTGTTTCGGTTTCGATCAATTGAACTCTATATTCATGAGCCTACGATGACGTCTACATAGGCACATTAGACTACATATACAGGGTGGGCCAAAAAAAACCAATACCCAACTTCAAATCAGGATAAAAATACTTATGTTCAATATGATACATTGACTTATATATCATTTTAAAGGTAATACATTTTCAAACAATTTGGTATATAACACTATGACATAAATTCAATAGCAAAAGTGTATTATACTTATTTGGAAGGCTGGGTCGCTATTTAAGGTCTCTAGATTTTAGGGAGAAAACAGTAAATCTGTGGAATTATGTAAACTTTTTATTCGTAGAATATTATTTTGTTAGGTGAATACATGCATGTTTATTTGCATCAATGTGTGACTAAACTTATTGTTTATGAATTTCAGTGTTGTCTAATAACATTTTACAATTTATTTATTTAAACAAATGCTTAATATGCCCCCCCCCATGCGTCAACAATAAGCCTTAAGCGGTAGCGCCATCTATCAACAGATTTCTGTTGCAATACATTCCAGCAATTAGGATTCCGCGGTTCAGCTAATCACTACTTTTTATTGGATGCTTGTGATTGTACACCATTTCCTGTACCCATTACCATACATGGAGATGGCTCCATGAATGGTAATCCACCACATTAGCAACGGGTCTTCTGTGGCCAAGCATCTGGATCAGTCAAATTGACAACTTGTCCTTGAAGGAATGCCAATGTCACCTTTGATCTATGGGACAAGGCACTGTCTTGTTGAAAAATACCCCCCCCCCCCACCACATATACGTTTCATGTCTTTTTAACATACCTCTTTTGGGTACTTATTGATAGTAAACAATACTGAAATTCATAAACAATAAGTTAAGTCACAAATGATGGAAATATACAAGCTTGTATTCACCTAACAAAATGATATTCCATTAGTAAAACGTTTACATAATTCCACAGATTTACTGTTTTCTCCCTAAAATCTAGAGACCTTAAATAGCCACCCAGCCTCCCAAATAAGTATGATACACTTTTACTATTGATTTTATGTCATAGTGTTATATACCAAATTGTTTGAAAATGTATTACCTTTAAAATGATATATAACTCAATGTACCATATTGAACATAACTATTTTTATCCTGATTTAAAGTTGGGTATTGGTTTTTTTTGGCCCACCCTGTATATAGAGCTGGTTACGTTCACTCCTGTAATTATGAATGAATAGTTGACGATGTTTAGGCCCCCATGTTGAGTTCACTCAGAATACATTTTGAGTAGAGCTTATCACGCTCACTCCTGTAATTGTGAATAAATAGTTCACAATGTTTGGGCCCCCTGATTGTGTTCACTCGGAATACATTTGAAGTAGGCTAAAACTAATTTGAATTTGAATCGTGTCTCCTCTATTCACCGTGACAGAGCTGCGATTCGCGAGCGATTATTACAACACCTGAGTGAACACGCCCAATAATACCTCGCTAACATAATAGTCCATGGTATGACTTCTGAATATGAAGGATCCGTAGCACACTATAGCGCAGCAACATTTGAAGCAATATTTATGACGGTGCATATGTCTTGATTCTTTTAAAATACCATTTGCTGAAAAAACTTCCGGCTTTCGGGTCGAAAAATGTCTTTCATCGACAAGGGGTCAAAAAACGTAAATATTTTGATTCGAACTTTTGTGCATTTTATAGGACACAGACCGTTATTCTAAGCATGCGAACAAAAAATAGATTATCATAATGTAAAAATATACTATAATTTTACTGTAGATGTCGGTGTTTAATTAGTGTAATTACGCAAGTGTATTTTTCAGATTTTGTTTGATTTTTCAGATATGAACCAAGCAGATTCAACAAAATTGTGTGGAATATTTAGGTATTTTATGATTGTGAAGATATTAAATTTCTTACCATTTAAAACATTTTATTACCAGAATTTTCCATATAATCGCAAGGGGTCAAACAACAAATTATTGTTCATGCTTTATAAAACATAATACAATAACAAATAGGTAAGATTTATATCTAATGAAATGTTACAAAGGTATTGGAATGTTCATATATTCCGAGGGCATGTCTAATAATCAATTGGAGTCACATGCAATTGGACGCCTTACAATTCTTCCTCGACGTTACTGCTGGGTACCATCAAGTTTTCTGATGGTTGTTTCTTCTTTGACCTTATCGGTGGATATAATCAAATTTTAGGAAAAAAATGATAACGATTTTTCTCAATTATTCATGAATTCGACCGAGCCTTGATGATTGTTTTTTAAGCAACTGAGCCTATATATCTAACTCCGAGAAATATAATTTTAGCTATAGTCCCAATTAGTCAAGGAAGAGCAATGGGCCCTCCTTTATTGATACTGTTCACCACTGAATCTCAAAACGTATAGAGACCCATTTTGTGAAAAACTAGCATAATTTAAGCATTTGTCAATCTAATATAAAAGTGATTCATTTGTAGCATTTATCTTATTAATACCTGAGAAACAATTCAAAACGTTGATACACTTATTACATAGTTTTTTGGTATTGATAAGAAAAATAACCTCAAACTTATAGCTTAGAAAGCTAAATCATATATTTAAAATAATTTTGTATTATTTTCTGTTGCATTGTGTACTCACTGGGATTTTATTTTTTGGTAATTTTTTGACCTCTGTTAATGGCAGGCATAATTCAGCCTAAAAGCCGGAAGTATATTAAACGGTTATAATAAAAATTATTAGGGAACATATGTAGGTATGTTTATGTTAGGTCAAATATCGCTGCGCTATAGTGTGCTACCAGTTCCTTTATTAGACGTCCTAGAGATTTCATACCATGGACTATAAGGTCAGATTCACACTGAATCGGGGCCTTGGCGATGGGAGTATTATGTGGATTTAATTTTTAACACAATACTAATCCCCGGCGCCCTTGTGATGAAATAGAGCTTATTTTGATCACACAACAACTTCATGATCATGACAGAAATTTGAAAGTTCGCGTGGCTTGCGCAAATTATATATATATTGATATTAATATTATCATTTTTGTTTAAAACGCTTCCTTTTACTCAATTTAGAAATATGCTTGTTTTACAATATTTCGACTGATTGGTGCAATACGGGATGTAAAATTAGATTATTCTTGTACATCAGAAAGACATTGCACGTAGGCTTACTTCAGATCGCGCGTGCAATCTAGGTTCAAGGCCATTTTCTCTCTTTCCAAGGAGAATAAATATAACAAAATTCAGATGGGCATTTTTATACTTCTTTATTCGTCCATTATAGTGAAGTCTTGGGGTTGTTACGCCTGTGGAGCATCAATATTGATTCAGGGGAGCACGTTTTATATAATTTCGATAGGAAAAGAAAATTGATATACAGTGCAATAAACTCTTTAACGTACTTTTATCACCCCGAACTGAAACATTTCGAATACTTATTTCGCGAACGCTTTGTTGAGAATGGATTCGAGATGTAGTCAAAATTAATACGTTTAAGTGTATTTTATCATCCTTATAACAACCTCACAAGTTATTTCGAAAATCAAAGATATACGATTTTTTAAATTTTTATTTGTTAAATGTTGACTTAGTTACTGATTAGAACCTGTTGTAGTTTTCTGCATCTAAGACTTCTTTGAAACGTTGAGTGTATTTTTAAGTGTTATTTTGTTGACGTTAATGTATTATTGAGAGTTATAAGATTGATAATATATGACTCTTGTATCGTTTTGAACAGTTGTAAATAAGTTGTATATGAAACTTCACATAATTTATTGCTAAAAGGCCTCTTGAACCTTTCTGGCTCTAAAATCAAGCCTTGACTTCTCAAGGTCAGATAAAGAAGTTAATGTGAACATTTCTCATGTAGTGTTTAAACATGGTAAGTCATATTTTGATAGTAATATTGAAAAAAATCATATCAGAACTATTTAACAGCATAATCAGAATAATGGAAAGAAGAACAGTCACATTCACAAGCACAGTACTTCAGCTGATTTATTTTAGTTGTATATAGCAGCAACAAACAAACGAGGATATTGATAAAAAAAGAAATGTTTTAAATCGATCAACTCACAATTTTGTCAAGGTACAGCATCCATCATTTATCGTGGGCCGATGAGTTGCGGAAGCATCTTCTAGAAAAATCCCTAATATCCGAAACATCTGAAACATTGAAATGAAATAACATAGCTTGGTTTTAAATCATCGTCTTATTGGACGGAAATTCTCTAAAACTGCGCATGTGCAGAGCTTTTTACAACCAATCTTATATATCACTTCAAGTGTTGTAATATATACGCGTAAGATCCCATTACCTTTTATAGGTTTTACAAAAGGCGGATTGGCTCCCAGGATCGAAACTCGATATTTTCCAACAATGAAAACGTCTAAATGTCGTTATCATCTGAAAGTATAACCAATAATTAATTCAAAATAAACAGTTCAAAAGATTTGAATCAATATCTCGATCATTTTTTGAGAGTTTGGGAATTTTTGGTAAAGAAATATGACCAAAAACTCACGATTCAACTGTTGAAGTGAACAAAATGGCGGCTGTTTGAATTCGAATTTTGTATCACGACATGTCTATATATGGAACAGAATATCGATGTTGCACTATGGGAGCCAATCCCATTTACATGTGTTTATTTATAGACATTATATCGTTCCAGTGAAAAATGTTCAAGAGCTACGATCATTGCCCCGAGTAAGACAGCATTGGGTGGTAAGACGGTGGTGGAACGCAATGCAGCCGGATGGGTTATTGATAAGGTACGTTTTAATAACGTGGGGACTTTTTGAAATCAGAACGATGCGTTATGTATAAAATTAATAAACAATAGAATATCACAAAAAAACACTGAGGAAGGAATAAATAAACATGTTTAGTTTTTCATAAAATATGTTTCGGTAGTTCTTTTTTTTACTTTTATATTTGTATATGTTAAGAATCTTGTACTAGCTAGATGATATCTTACTCATACACTCTTTTAAATATGTGTCATGTATTCTACATGTACGTTAAAGTAGCAGTTGTTTATTTGAAGAATTAATGTTAACATATGTTTATAATCGCTGCGAAGCTATTCAATTCATAACCAGATATTTTTAATCAGGAGTAGATCAGACCTTCATATACTGATCAAAGTAAACGGGAACAATTATATGGTTTATTTTATTACAGGTTATGTTCTATGTTTAATGGTTTAACTCTTCATTATTTTGGAAGAAATAAGGATAAAAAATCATATAAAAATAAATAATCATTAAATCTACCATCCGTTTACTGAATGCACATCGATGTGATGATTTAGTTGTCATAATCATAATTCTAATACCTCTTTTTATAACGACAGAAGGTAAAAATTAAGAATGGCGGTTAAAGACTGAGATTACCAGAGTTAGCGAGCAGCGGAACAAAAAATTGTTTCAATTTTAGAATATTCCTGGCTTATGATATTCCTTTTCATGTATATTTTCTAAAAATTCCCAAAGTGCACACTCTTTATCAGGAAAACTTAAAAAATTAATTACGATAACGTATAATCTTTCTATGAGACTGGTTACCAGTCTTATATTTGGGAGAATTTAAACACTTTCACCCATTTTTGCACTTTAAATGCATTATAACCAATTTATAACATATCGCGAATCTTTTGGGAAATATTGTATTTGAGATGATAAGGAATAGATTGGTAGGTCAGTTGTACATGTTGCTTGCAATCACCCCCCCCCCCAAGATCTGATTTTGCCTTTAAGATTTTAAAACTATGGATGTGGGACTGAAAGGAGCTCTCTTTGATGCTTTCGTTTTGTGATACCTTGATAAGTGATGAAACCAGAACTCACCATAGAAATATTTAAGTAGGGGTGTTATTTGTATTATTAACCTGGCAAGAATTTATACACACTCCGTGCCCTTTTAATCAAATAAATTATGCGATAAAATTACAGAAGTGAACTTATTGTTGACACCAAATGAAGAATGGCGGCATGACTACTCGACGTGAATTTCGCGAAATACATCGAATGCCTCTGACGCCACAGCAATTTTGAAGTGCCATTTATCACTGAATGTCAATTTGATGCCAAATTGGACATATGTGTAGGCTAGTGATCACAACAGTATGTTGCTTCCATCTATGGGAATCAATTGTAGCCTGTTCATATGAATTCCTGGCGCAAAAAGTTCAAGTACTTAATATAATGGTAATGTTCATGTTTTAAATTGCACTTACAGCGTGAACACGAACGGTAGCAGTTTGATTCCCGAATGTTACCATCTAATATGTTCTCATGAACCTAACTACAATTTTTTCAGTGAATCGTTATATTCAATTAGACATGTATATACTACGACGGAGAGAACTCATCCCTAATGCCTGAATAGAATTTTGAACAGAATATTCAATCGGCCTGTCGCCGGACGATGAATTGGGGCAAGGGTAACTCAGCCATTTAAGACCACTATTCTACTCTGCATGCTCACGTACGATTTGAAAGGATTTGTAGCTTCAACTCCTTAGGTAAATGCATTGATAATGTGGGATAACTCATTCTGATTTCTCATGTTACGCCACATTTGAAAACGAGGTTAATGTTGGACTGGTACGTTCACTGATTTATCCAATGAAATGACTACCAAAAATATAGGCATTTCAATATTCCATTTCTTACCCGTTATTACAATAACATGAAAAGAAACTATCAGAATTAAAGCAACCTTGACTTTGCAGCTGTACATGCAGGCAACCGTCCGCTAAATATCTAATTATAGAAAACTAATACAATGCGTAACCGTCCACAAAACATCATGCAATATTTACGTAGTCGTCTAACGACCTTGCCATTGAAACCTTATGATTAACAATATACACCAGATTCATGTTCTGGCTTTGTCATTTTATGGCTTCTTAATATGCAGTTTACTTACATTTCGTATTTTGAGTGGCTCTGAGGCACATTTACTGAGAAAACACCCCCCCCCCCCCCCTACAGACACAATTCTTCTTCTTTACTCAATTTGTCTATATCCAAACGTGTCTGTGAACTTAACACGATGACACTTCAATGCTGCCTTTGGTCACTAGATACATTGGTTTCACTCTGTACTATATTATACCTTGTACTTTTCATTTATACTTGTTTTGATTTACTTCCTGGGAGTGCGCATTTTTGACATTTGCTATTGTCATCTGAAAGGGCCAATGTCTCACTTATAAAGAAGAATTTTGTTTAAGAGTCATTATCTCTGTGCAGTTAGATTTATTAAATTATATTAGTGTACGTATAGTATGAACTGTTGTAGTCGTCCTGCTATTTCTATGTTGATGCACTGGTTGGCTCCAAATAGTAAAGTGTCCATAGGCGCTAGCATTGCCTCCCTCTGTGCACTGTGTTTGCTGCACTGAAACAAGAAATGATGCAAAGTTAATGGTGATTTACAGTTCGCAGTTAGGAGAGGGAAGATCAATGTTGATTTTGTAGTAGTGGCCATTGGGACGGGTGTGCCCATTTGATTGACATTAGTCTGACTGTATCTTTTACCCAACTTCAATAATTGTGATTGTTCTTTTACTTGTGGGATAAGGTTCTGAATAAAGGTAACTTTATCAGAGTGGTTATACCTATTTTACCATTTATTAATATTTTTTATACTTATTTTTCATTGATTTGCAAGCCATTGTTTTTGTTATTTTTGGGGGTGGGAGGGTTGTGGCTGTTTTAGCAGTTTTGGTTATCTTATTAGCTACTTCATTGCCCTCAATTCCAAGATGTCCGAATACCCAAAAGATTTCTATGTTTTTTTAACATGGAAAGTGTTTTGCAAGCTTTCCTTATGTTCATAATTCAGCTATCATGGTTTTGAGTTTGGTGTTCAGTTAGACTATCTATGTATTAGAGAGATTTCGCACATAAGTGAAAGTACAACTTATACGTATACGTATAGTTTAAAGGGTCATGTCGAACTATTATATTTACTAAAATCAATTTTAAATTGTACTTAATGGAACATAACTATTCCCGATACAGAAAAGCTCCATCAACCAGAGACTGTGAATGCACTGCCATCTGCACGTGTAGATTATGCACATTATAATTAAATGCTTGCTCTCGTGTCCTAGTAGTTGTAGTGTATTCTAAACACGATCCTTTAAAGTGAGTTATGATCCTTTCAAGTGAGTCATTACATAAACAAGTTACTCTAGGAGCTAGCAAACATTTATAAGACATCTCGAGTACAAAAGGTTTGAGGCCTGTAATTAGTAGATGTGGGTCTAACATCCCCAAAAAGGCAACTCTTAAGTGACAAATTTGGGGCTACCACCAGGGGGCGCTTTTTGAAATGCCCCCAAAATTAGATTTAAATGACATCTCGAGTACATCAATGAAACGTTTGTCAAAATGTTCCTTTGGACCCTCTGAAACATTATGAGTCCTTAAGAGTAGCCAATTTTGGGGTTTAACCCATTTCTGAGTGAGTTAAAGGTCACCATAGATACAGCCACACACAATCAAAATGCTGTATCAGAGCCTTGTGAACTTGAATATATTTGATATTCTGATATATCCATAAAATATGTAGGTAGACCTTTCTAACAAGCCATAATACATCAATCAATGACAACTGAATCCAGAGATATTAAACTTTTGGTCTCAATTTTGATCCGAAAATGTACATTTTTAAGTCTCGTCTAGTTTGTATTCGTAGCTTCGGGCAAAAGGTGACATATCAAACAGCTCAAAATAGTATTCCAAGAACATTACCAAGGTTTGTGTTATATTGTTATACAACTTTTATAATGATGAATCACTATTTTGTAATTTAAATATGACGTTATAGTGCCATACCCCTTCAAAATAGAGGAAAGCAGGCATAGTCAGTTTCATCGTTTTGCAGCATCAAGTTGAAAACATGTAGCACTAGAAAGTGAATCAATGCATCCAAAGCCTCTTCATATGTTGCTTTACATTGTAATTTATCTTTTACTAGAATATTGGATTCTTCACATTTTATACGTAAGTTTTTGATATAGCGTCTCTCTTAAAATGATATCAATGAAATATAATATAATCATGCAGTCTAGATATAATAATTATAACAATGTTTATAAGACATCTTTACTCTCTGATTTGTCTATGTTATATATATGACGAAAAAATAAAATATTTCTCACTCTCTGATAAGTCCATGTCCCAAACGTGACTAAAAATAACTGAGTGATATTCAAAGGAAGTCATGTGACATCCATTAAATATCAAATGGTATTCACCAGTCACGACTTTGTCCCCTGTAATTTCAAGTTTATGTAGTCCTGGGAGTACATTATTTTGGTTAATTAGACAGCAATAGTTTGTTGTTCCATTAATGTGAGTGAGGAATATATTAGTGAATAATAAAACAAATATTTAATTCTATTTTCAGTGAATACCTGTGACACTTTCACAAGATGATATTCCACTAGCACTTCTGGATTTCTGGAATATTATATGTGAACGAGGCATAAATATTCACCTCAATAGAATTAAGTATTTGTATTTTATTATTTCACTGTCAGATTCTTCACTCTCTGATTGGTCCATGTACTGGAAAATAACAAGCGAAATCAACGAAGTCCAAGACTAGCATCGAATATCAAATGATATTCACCAGTCTCGACTTGGTCCCGTGTAATTTCAATTTCATATAGCCCAGGAGTACATTGTTGTGATTAATTAGACATCAATAGTTTATTATTCAAGGAATGTGAGTGAGGAATATAAAAGTGAAT